AAATTTATTTTATATATTCTTTGATTTATTCACATGTATATTAAATGTTAATTTGTTTCTAAATATACAAGGTGTTTCAGAAATTGTGGCATAATCACGGGAAAGAGAGAATTTCTCATGTAAAAGTAAGTAAACAATATATAATAAATTTTTTTCATATATGTAGATCTCTGTTTTCAAGAAAATCAAATTTGAATATTCGTTAAGTATGCATTTGACTAACCACAATCTATTTGATTTATTCAATCTAGCTATCATCGTTATTTCTATTGCGTTTTAACTTTAATTCGTTAAATAAGAATTCATCTGCAACGTGAAGAACATAAATGAATGATAACAATTCTTTTCAAAAATTTTGTAATTAATAACTATATTATAGACATTCCATTTTAAACCATATTCATATTATATTAAATTTAGACTGACATAAAAATAGTGGTGAGTAGTCAGATTGAGTGTAAACTAAATAAACTGTGATTAGTCAAATATGTACCTAACGAATATTCAAACTCAATTTTCTCAAAAATAAACAGAACTTTACACAAAAAAAATTTATTTTATGTTTTCGACTTACTTTTACATAAGGAATTATTTTCTTCGCGATTGCACCACAATTTTCGAAACATCCTGTATATCTTTTAACATAATCTATGTTTTTTATTTATTGTTAGATAGTAATTAATCAATGATATATTGCAATATTAAGTTTTTAGACTACATTTTCTTGTGTCTTTGCTTATATACGATCTTGAATCTAAAATTGTCCAGCTACGCTGCTTTATTTTTGACGAAAATTATACTTCGATAATAGTCGTGTATAACGAGCTGCCTTTCGTGTTGAGATACACATCGCAGTCGAGATTAATACGGCAAAATTATAATGATTATTATTATCTTAAACTCTTGTATAATGTATTGCTCTTTTACAGAAGCGCGCGATTTCTTCGTATTTCTCCCTTGATCTGCGCACTTGACAATATCAATTAATGGCTATATAGCGAAGGAGATTCAAGATTGAACGGTCCCGGCTTGAATTCTGACGGAGGTGGATATTTTTCTCTATTTATTACGCGTAATACATTCACTCGTTTATTTTCTTCCTCCCTACATGCGAGGTTGATCACATTCGACGAAAAAAATTTCGCTCAAGGGCGACTCAGCCACGAATAACCGTTTCGAGAATTTTACGAGATCGTTACGCGGCATGCAGCTGCATTCTGCTCACCGTAGATGCGTTCCGTTGCGATCTTTTCTCGTCGACGAGCAGGCGGACCGATGGAATTTCAAATGAGGGTGCGGTCGCGCGTACGAAATCGTCTGAATGAATTTTCGTCAGGACGTGTTCGTGTTTGCATGATTGGCGCGCTGATTCGAGAGGACCGCCCGAGTCGACATCGCAGTGGACATCGCAAGGGCATTAAAACCATCATCGAACAGAGAGGCGAAGGCTCGGGGAAAATGAGAGAAAAAGATAGAGAGAAGGCGACGAAGAGGTCCGCCAAATAAGACTACCAAAAAGCACTGAATCCAGCACGACCAACCGTCGCGGTCGATTTGCGGTTACCGCGGATACGCAACAGGAAAAAAGGAGGGCTCTCCTTTTCTCTTTCTCTTTCTCTCTCTCTCTCTCTCTCTCTCTTCCTTTTTTGTTCTCTCTCGTCCATTCCTGACAAAAATGAGAAATTTCATAAATGTTTGTTTTACGTTTATATGAGCATTTGCGGGAATTCGTTGAGAATTCAAAAACGCTCAGTAAAGTGTTTATAAAGCAGAAATTGCAACGCTACAACGTTTAGAAGGCATTCTCTGATGAAAATAAGAAGCCTAGTTTCATGAATGTTTGTTTAACGTTTACATAAGCGTTTGCAGGAAGTTCATTGAGAGAATTCAAAAACGCTCAGTAAAGTGTTTATAAAGCGGAAATTGCAACGCTGCAACGTTTGGAAGGCATTTGTAGAGCATTTTTGAGAGTTTGCACAGTGTTTACTTAACGTAAGCGTTTACTGATAATTGTTTAAAATTTATAGATTCTATGTAAAGCATTTAATAGACGTTTGCTCCATCATTGGGAATTGCGTGTAGTATGTTAAACTTTTAACAGGCGTTTACTTTCGTCATTAGAAATTGTGTAAAAAGCGCTTGTGAGCGTTCAAGTGTTGAGTCTGCTAAACACAGACATTTTATCAAGAAAAGAAAAAATTTTCATTGAAAAGTCTCACCATACCTGCGCTTTTTATCCTATTCGATATGATTTTTTTAAATGCGAGAAATTTTACTGCGTCTCTCTAGTGGCGACGTTGTGCATTGCTTGAAAATTGGATTTGTAGAAGAATGTTTGCTAAACGGAGAAAAAAACGCTTTGGAGTTGAGGAAAATTTTTTGGACATTTTTAAGCCGTTTGCGTAAACGCCTTATAAAACGTTAATTGAGACTCAATAATTCGCCACATTGGAACAGCGTTTGTTGAACAGAAAAAAGATGCTTGTCTCACGATGTCGAGAAAAGCGTTTGCTAAATGTTTGAAAAGTCTGACAGTGAACTCTCTGCACGAAGGTGCATCAACGTTTACTGAGCATCCTTTGAAAAGCGTTGCTTTAACATTACAGAACTTGTATAGAACGATATATACTGCACTTTATAAGCATTCTGAAAGTGTTTATAATCCAATGGTGTTGTATAAGCGTCCTTATAAAGTTTGAAAGCGTATAAACTCTTAAAAAATTGTCATCGAACGATTGTCAACGTTTTAGAAAGTTCTGTATTTTCACCAGGAATTCGCTCTTTCTCGCATCCTCTCTCAACATTATCTTTCCCTTTCGATCCCGCAAAAGGGTCTTGTAAGTACGGTAAGCGAGGGAGAGCGCGTAGACAGTCGGATTTATATTCAAATGAATCGCGATGGAAGCCGCGATTTATCGATGCCCCATCAAACCCCGTAGCGCACGTGCGGGTTGCGCAGGTCAGGGGGAAGGAAAATCAAAGGGTTAAGTTACGAGAGAGGAAGGATGTGCCTTAAGGAGTCAGGATCCTTTCCTCGCTCGTTCAACGCTTGTTACTGCTCGGGGGCTACGATCTCGCGGTCGAAGTCGAAGATTGCGCAGTAACATGCAACTCTTCTTCTCGGAATCCCGAATTTTTTTTTCTATCTTTATGTTTTTATAATTATATACATTGAATTAACGGCACGTCACCGGGACTTCCTTCAAGACGTTACCGCATTCTTCATCCGCGAGCAGCAAATATTTCTTCAACAATGCAAGCGTCGTCTCGCTGGATCCTCGGGTTCGTCTTAGACGATGATAACGCGACAAAAGTCCGTGAGCGAAGTTTTTCGAGAGCACAATTAACGACCCTGCGGTGTCCTACCCTCGCGCCTTAAATGTATGCGGGTGTGCGTGCATGCCTTTATTTAGCTTTAGTTGGTCGAAACCGGTTGCCAGCGATTCCACTCCACTCTCTGATTCGGAAGAGAGTGAGAGAGAGAGAGAGATAGAGAGAGAGAAACGAACGAGCATGGAAAGAAAGAGGGAGAGAAAGAAAGGGAGGGAGGAAGAGAGGAAAGAAGAAAAAGGGGGAGGAATGTTCGTGGTCCACCAACATACACCGCAACTTTTAGGGTTCCCCTAAGGCGCAGGAAGGAATTTCGCACGAACGAATAAAGCGACATCGTGAAACATCCATTTCTTTCAGCCGGAAATCAAAGTAACATCTGATTTCCACGATTCTCGCGATTCGATTTGGATTAAAAATTATTTATTCGTTCATTTCTAACCTGCCACATAGTAATGATAAGCACCATATCAACACGTATGGTAAGAAAGAATTTCTGAGAAACTTAGGTACATATTATACAATATACAAACTACAAGTACAATATTTCAACATTTTTTGATAATAATAAGACATAAACAGAAATTTAAAAATCTATGATTGTAAATGTAAGTTTGATATTATTCTGAGTAAATTTATTTAAGATATGGATTTTTCTTTCTTCTTCTATTTAAATATTGTATCATCTATAAATAATTTTGTCTCTCAACAAATAATTCGGAACTAACAATATGATCAAATAATCCTATATTTATTATTATATTATTTTAAATTACGTGCATTCATCGTTCACATTAAATATTACATAAGACATAATGTAACAAAAGAAGGGTTCAGTGCGATTTTCCGTAAAATTCTTACAGGAGGAAGAATTTCGCGCTTCTCTATCAAAATTCGGTCAGGGTCGATCAGATAATTTGCTACCTGCCCGCCACCGGTGACTTAATTACTCTTTTTGCGCCCTGTAATTTTCGTTTCTACCTCTCGCGAACCCGTTCGGAACGAAAGCGCAAGCGTACTACGTGTCTCACGCTAGATCGCGTGGGTAGCTTGCGTCATTAAGGGTAGTAACTTGCGGTACCGGAATGGCTTTGGCTTCGGAGGAGAAAGTGGTCGGGTGTGGCCAGACATTGCCACTCTAGGAGACAATCTTTCTTCTTCTCCCTCTTTCTCTGTCCCTTTCTCTCTTTCAGACAGGTTCATATGTGTGTATATGTGCGAAAGAAGTCGTTTTCCTTCGAAGGACTCCGTGTTTCTCAGTTGCTTACAAATTCTAAATTCTTTCGTAATAGATTACATAGATAAGGAACCACTGAGAAAATTTCTAATTGAAAATAAACGAACCAAAAGATTCCGATTATACTAATCGAAAATTCTAATCGTTCAAATTAGAATTATAATAGATTTAAAATTTTAAATATAGTAAAAGAAAGAAAAATCCATATCTTCAATAAATTCACTCAAACTAATATAAAACATATGTTTACAGTTTCATAAATTTTTTAATCTCTGTCTCATTATTACAAAAAATGTTGACATGTTACATTTGTGCATATAATATATAAATTTCTTAGAAAATAATGATTTATTCATTTTTCAACAAGAATTACAATTAATTAAGAATTACAACCAGACTCTTTTTTCAGAGTGATACATTTTTTACTGTTCTATACTTAGTTTTCTTCGTATTACTGATTCATCGCAGAACGCTCGATTCCTTCGTGATCGAGGAAATTTCTCGTCCTCCTCGCGTTCCCGTGTGCGACGGGCGCACGTGCGAGCGGCGTGCACTAAGATCGCACGTGGGTGCACGCGTCGCACGTCACGCGGACCGACGACCGACGACGGTTGGAGTTGGTACGCGGCGCATTCGGTAGCAGTGCCGCCGCCGGATCGAACGGCCGGGGTTCGACGAACTCTTTGTCTCGAAAACCGGACAAACCGTACGTTCGTACATACATACGTCGGCCACCTCTGACCATGCTGCAATAGCGCCTAACATACCTCGCATTTCTTGCCTCTCCCGTGACAACGTGACGCCGTCGCCGTTGTCGCGACGATCTTCCTTTTCACGAAACCAAACTGAATCGTCTCGTTTTCTAAGATTAGATGTGGTTATAGCAATGGAACTCGACTAAATTGAAACTTATAGTACCTAAAATTGGATGTATAGTTTAATATTTATCTGTAACCTTTCGAAGAAAGGGCTTGACGCCAAAATTTTTGACATAGTTATTACTGATGTTGAATCTGTAAGACTCAGTTAATTTATATTAATTAAAAGGCACTAATTAATTTCAGATTTTTTAAATTGTTGAGAGAGTGCTTTATTCTTGTTGAGATATAGGAAAAGATATAAACGTTAAATAAAAAAACGGTAAATAAAAAATTTATTAGACATAAGTGAATATAGTGTTTTGCTGTGACAAATTCTAGAGACAATGAATTTGTAATTACAAATCTTTACTTAGGTAAAAAAAAAAATATAATTCATATAGAAAAGACTAAATGTACTTACTATATATAATTGTATATTTTTTTAATACTTAAAGAATATTCCAAATTTGCAGATGTAACATAAAAAAATTAAATTATTTGACAAGGAGATTTAGAATTGAATGAATCCAATAAATTTACCATCAATTCCGGAAGATTAATACTAATTTATTACTCATGTAATTAAATTCATGGGAGAGAAAGGTTTCTCTGTTCTTACTTCTGACAATTTCGTGTCTTCTCTGTTTTGGGGAGAAACCGAAATTCCCCAGGACAATTGGTCGTAAAAATAAGCGTTTATTGTTACGAAATTTACTTATGGTATATATTCGCTGTTTTTTCGCCGTTGTTTTTGTTGTTGCTGGTTCGCTTCGAACGCGATATCAGTGAGTACACCATTGCGGTCGGGTCCTCGCTTTTTAACCGCGGGTCCCTTTTTCTCGGACCGATTTACGGCGCGATACGCGGGAAGGAATTACGCAGCGAATTTTTATGCTCGTTTTATTTATTTTTCCACGTACACACTTGCGCGAGGACATCCGAAACTGTGTATTCCGCAACAACGTCACGGATCACCGGCAGATTGGAAGGAAACATAAATATCGATCCTTCGAAAGTTTGAAACCTGAATACGTTTCCCCCTTTTTATGGGACCCAATCCTTTTTAAACAGAATGGCGATTGCAATTTTGCACAATTTTTTGCGCAAACAGAAGGCTGCCATACTAGAAGACTAGTAGCTCTACGTCGTTTTAAAAAGGATCACATTTTTAAATTAAGCTTTAGAGTTGACGATGTGTCTATTCGTCTATTGAATTCTAAATCTCTTTATCAAAAATGTCAAACAATTCAATTTTCTTTGTTACATCTGTTAATTTAAATTATTACTTATTAAAGTACACTTAGTATTCATTTTTTCTTATATTTAGTTAGTTGTTTTAGTTATTTTAATTCCTTAAAATTTAATTAATGACTTTTAATTAACTTTAAATTAAATGGGTCTTACAGGGCATCAGTAACTGTGTTACGGATTTTGGTGTCACAGCTCCGAAAGGTTAAGTTATAACTTAATTGGTTAGAGATTTAAAACAGCTGTTCTTCAATAATAAATTGAATAATAAATTGGCTAGTATTACACTGTATATCTCTTGAAATACCTATTTGAAAGGAAGGATAAATCTCGTTGAAAGATAGTTTCGATGACTGCAATCCTATGAAATGAATTCCATGAAAAGCTTTTGATTAGCGAACATCCGTCCTCGGACGTGACCCTGTGCCATCCTTTGAGATTTCAGACGATTTGTTCGTTGAATATTCCTTCCCAATCCCTCTTCCTTCAATCTCATCTCTATACCTTCTCGCCTTTCGTTCGAACCTTGGCGAACCTCGGGCCATTGTTAAAACTTTTTCGAGGTTATTACACGTGAGATATGTAAATGCGTCGCCGGTCGGGGTCGGTCCTCGACGTCGAAGGACCAGCTCCACCAGGTCGTTTCCCCTCACTCTTTCGGACTCTTCCTCGCTCTCTCTCCTGGTTCCTTTGCTCTGCTCAACAGGGGCGGATCGGACTGTAGCGTAGCAGATAATTCGCAATCTTGTGCAATTCCATGGTTAGCTCTCATTATAGTCAGGCATGAGAATTCGAATCCTTCGTTTGAAAACCTTTAAACGATTTTAATCACATAAAAATTCGAATAACTTGAAATAATTTTGAAAAAAACTTTAAATGATCTCAAAAAAAGTTCCTCGAATGTCTTGAATTTCTCGAAAATCTTGCCTTGAAAATGTTTAAATATATCTGAATCGTTCGAAATTCTTAAGAATAAAAATTGTCTACGATATAAAATTAATTATTTAACATTAAATTAATATAAACAATCTTTGAGTTCATTTAATATTCGAAATAATATTTGCCTGTAATATTTCTATCTCCTGATCTTGAATTTATTTACGAATTCAATCAAATTAACACGTTTCTCAAAAGTATCCATCTATAAATTTATATCGTTTCTGAATAATCCAACAAAAGTTTCATAGGGGGATTCAAAAGATCCGATAGCCAATTATCAACCAAACACTCATTCACCATTGTCGTACACTATCCTTGAACAAGAATACAACTGATATTGTGTTCCATACGAGTGTAACGATACCTTCTTCCTACGCCTGGATTGATATTATTTAATCGCACACGGTGCGTCGTCCGAGATGGAATTTCTTTTCAGTATCCGCTCCTGCTCCTCACCATCGCCACCACCGCCGCCTCTGCATCGTCATCACCATCTCCCCGACTTCTCTGTAACGGATAGGCCTCACCTCCAGAACGGAACTGACTCCAGTTTGCTTTCGGTTTGGCCATCGCGAATACCAGCGCGTCGAGCTCAGTAACAGTGTGGCATTCACGACGTGCGCTTCGCTGATCGCCGATCACACGATCGTCGTCCTCGCCATCCCGGATAAAGTTTCCGGTGAATCAATCACCTGGTCCTCACCGTTCTAGTCTAATCTTAAAAAAGATCAAAAGGATGAGACTCCTGTGACGAGTGGATCGAATCAGGATACCGCATGTGACCGGATTGGAAGGAATGAGTCCAAATAATTCGACGGATCCACGACAGAAAAGCCCGATGTTTAAAAAGAGCCTGTAAGAGTCCTCTCTGTTAATCTATACAGCGTAGAAGTTTACTGCAACAATTTGAATGTTATTACATTATTGTTGGAACATTCCAGTGTTGCTGGAATAATATCTGTGCTGTATGGGAAAGAATTTTTTCCTCAAACGAAACAATTCAATTGTTCCAATATTAAGTAATTGACTTAACATGCGAATTTTAGTAGATGTATGCACATTATTACATCCCCAAACAAATTGTTATTACGTGCTTTTCTGTTTCAATCAACGGTATTTATTATTTAATTAACATATTTATGTAACTCGTATTTATAACGATATAAACGGATCATGCTGTGATCCTTAAGAGCAGTACTGATTAGTGCGATTAACTATAATTGATTTTACCGCAGATCTTAATTGCCATGATTGAAACTACAGCTTAAAAAACATGAATGTGCATTTAACATTATGCAGCGTTTATATAATTTTAGTTTATATAATTTTCGTCATGTTATGGTATTAATATTAATATAAATATGGTGTGGATTTCAAATTATCATGAGTTTTAAATGATGTTGACATAAACCCTAACACGGTGAGAATTATATAGACATCGCACGCTGATAAATCCATACCCCATATTTTTGAGAGTATATATTAATCAAAATTCTAGATCGATAATGAGAAAGAAACGGATTAAGCCGAGCGCCGAGGACGGACACCATTCTTCTTCCGTTTTGGCGCGAAGCTGAGCCTGGAGCTCGACTCTTTACTCGATTCTCGTCGGGCGTTTCACTGCGTCCGTGCTTCACTCTACTTACCAAGGCTGACCCTGTTCGTAATAATTAATGGCGTTAGACCGGGCGAGTGCGTGGCGGCGGTTTACTCATGCCTGGACCCCGACGATAAATACATATGGACTGGGTATCCGTTTGCGTCCGCGGGTAATCCCATAGCTCGCCTGCTCCTCCGGTTATTAAACAATTTCCGCGCAATTGAACACGCTCGTAATTAACGACGTTGTAATTAACGGCGTTAGCGCATGCAGATCGCTGGTGAAGTTACGTACCTATATGGCGCTAGACGCGAGGCGCGGTCTAATTGATCATTAACACCGGGGGATCCATCGATCTCCCTGCTCTTCTTCGCTTTCAGTCCTGATTTCGTCGGGATATTACGTTATTGTAAACAGCGAGGTCTTTAAAAATCCGGAACATCACTCAGTCGGTATAAATTTCATCAAATCGTAATATGTACGAGAAAAGTTGATACACGTCTCTGATAGCCTCGATGTGCACTGGAATGATATGATTGAAAATATTTGAAAAACTCAAGCGTGTTTAGCCACACGAGCGAATTTGACACGCGAATGTAACGGAAGGGAGATCCTAAATCATTAAAGACATCCGGCCTCCTTCGTTAATGAGATCTCCTTCTTTGTGAGATGAAGCCGGAGTCGGTTTTCCCAAATGTTGAACATCAAGAGCAGCTAATTAATAAACTTTACGGTTATATAGCGGTTTGCTTTTTTCAATTAACTTTAAATGGATTCTACATAATTGATCTATTGCTGAAGACAAATAAGTTTCCGAATGCTTGGAAACTAGGTCAACAAATAAAGAAAGGATGTACACAGTAAGAAAATATATTTGGAAAACTACATGGTTGATCTTTTAATGCGTTACGTACCGCGTGAATTAACAATTTCGTTCGTTTGATATATTGACTATAAAAGGAAATAATTATGAAGTGAATATTTAATATTATACGTGAATACATAATTATGACATATAAGCAATATTGGTACATTAAGGTTTCTTTATAATAATAATAATTATTGTAATTTTGTAACCATTACAAAAAATGCATGTTATTTATATAATCAGCAAATAAAAATACTGGTAATCCACAATAATATGTAGTTTAAATGATATGTCAAATCATTTAAAATCATTTAGAATTGATCATAGAACGTTAACAAATTATCTCTATTAAGAGATAAATTATGTAATTTTACAAATATATTGCTTACTGCCTATATCATTTTTGCGAAAAATCCGAGGAACCTTATTTAAACAATATTGTAATTCAATAAAAATTCTATCTATATTTGCAGAAATTTGTTAATAAAAAATGCTCGCGTGGGGGTGACATCAATTTGATGTGCAACAATTGAATTTATTGATATTTTATATCTATAATAAATTTTTTAATTTTTATTTGTAAGTTATTTATAAATTAAGACCTGTTTTAAATAAACATGTATGAAATAATTTATACATGTTTGAAGTAATTTTCGAGCGTTAGAAATTAAAAGAAATGTATATCTTCTAAATATTTTTGTAGTAATATTTTCATTCATCATACGTCCGAATGAGTTCGATCCCTACGCAAACACTTACGGGTTAAGAACTCGTATAGGCCAGGGCGAAGGGACCGATCCACGTGCATGGACAAAGTGTCATTTAATCACGAGTGTGGTTTTACAGGCGCAGTCGGTGAACCCTAACCGAGACCGCGAGCACGGGTGCGTGACTGCAAGAATGCGCGCACGCAGGAGACGGTGCATGATGTCCCGGTGACGACGGCGGTCACGATTGTGATCACGAGCACGGGCACTCACGTATACGCACGTGAGCTCGCACGTACGTATTCACGCACGTGTACGTACTCACGCGAGGAAGAAAGAGAGAAAAAGAGAAAGAGTGAGGAAAAAAAAAAGAGAAAGAGAGCCAGAAACAGCCGCCGATGCCGCAATGAGGCTAGGCCCGATTATCTTGTCGTGGGCCATGGCCATGGTCGGCTGGCTTGGTCCATCGAGCGGAATCACGGCGACGGCGATGATGACGTCACGGGCCCCACGTTCTCGGGATTACGAACTTTCGACGGAGTTCTTCCTGGTGCCGTCCGAGATCGGGCACGGGCTGGCGAGCGTGGCGAGCGTCATCAGCGTGCCGGCACCGAACCGGACGATCACCGTCTTCAGGACGCCACCGGGCGTCAGGAAGAGCCAGGAGGTGGAGATGCGGCCGACTCCGAAGTCCCTGTTGAAGCAACGGCCCTGGGCGCTGCCACTCGCTGCGCTCAGCGCTGCGGCGATGCTCCTCATGGCCGGTTTCGAAGTCTTCGTATTGTTCAAGGTAGCTCCGGTGTTATTTAATAATTAATGTATGTACATATTATCTCTTTGTTCGCTCGTTATATGCTTTTATGGACTCCAGCTTCTCGCTGGAGGGAAAGTGGATTACATCCCAGAACGGACAATGAATAATGAATTTTTGTCTTTACTTTTCTCTCTGTAGTGAATATTTCCTGAAATATTTTATGACGGGTTGTGTGAATATATGGAGATTTCACGCGCCAGAATGATCTTTTAATACTATATATCTTCGTAGTCATCTTCGTTTTGCAAATTATATATCTCTTGATTTATTAATCATTTGAAAATCTGATGTTAATCTTTCTTTACTTGTTTTTTTCAGCCATTAAATGATGTCTGTTTTAAACACGCAAATCTATTTTTCGAAATATTCCGCTCATTTAGTTCAGTTTATACTCAATACGCTTACACACATAATTATGCTACCTGTCTATTGCATGTCTACTTGCTATATATTTTTTATAATTATTATGGAAATTTATTCTAGAGTTTTATTCTAGAGAGTGTAATATTGACACCCGTTCACTCTCTCGATGTCTTCATTTTATTTTTCCAAGTCAGATCAAATACGAAAAATGTGCGTGTCGAAGCAGTATTAAGGAGGAAACTGGTGAAATGGAATGTATATTAATATCTGCATGACTTGTCACTAGACGATCGCGCGACTGCGGGATTAATAGAGCTCGGAAAGGAACTATCGCGCGTCAATCTCTCCCCACCGATCCACTATTAATCGTTTTCGTTTCGACAAGCTCCAGTAACTGGCACCGAGGGAATTTCGCCGAGACCTAGGCCCAGTTTACGCTCACGTTGGATCGGCTTCAGTTTTCTCTCGGTTGCACCCTCCGACACGCTTCATTGAGCACTCTCGGAGAGAGACCAAGTCAATCATTGCTGTCGAATTAATTGATATCAAAAAATTCGGAATTTCAGTTTAAGAGAAAGTAAATCGAGAACGAATAAAGAATAAAATTCAAATTTCATTAATATGATGTATATAGCAATTTATGAAATTTATTAGAAATTTTGAAAATTTCGAAAAAATTCACTCAAAAGTTTAGCGTTTTATTTACAAGTTATTTTCCTAGATAACACGTTTGTTAAAAATTGGAACATAAAACATCTTATGTCTCAATTCACGTGCTGTCTGTCACGGGTTATTCTTTTCTCTTCCTGATGAAAATAAAAATTGGAGCATAAATGGGAGAATAACAGAAGCGTAAACAAAACTTTTAGAAGGCGAAAGTTAGAACGTAAAAGAAGCATTTACGTTTCTTTTACATTTTGATGTTTCAATTTTCGCCTCTTAGAAGATTCGTTTACGCTTCTCTTACTCTCCCATTACATTTGACTTACGCTCCGATTTTTATTTTCACCAGGACTCTTTCTTTGTCTCTTTCTCTATAAATATATATTGAAAAATATAATGATTCTCTCAATTCTTTAGTGTTCATTTATTA